AGGAATGAGAATGGGGGAATTTCATTTTTTAATGTTCCGGTTTTAAAATATATCTGAAGTAGAAATGACAAATGTGTATTATAGACAGTGGTGACATTGGATAATAATTATTTTGTGAATATTTCTGCACGCTTGAATCTTGTGAAAATAACCAAAAAGTTGATTGTTTCTCCAAATAGAACTAACAATGCTGTATTTATAGACACCGTTTGCTGGGATTTGCCTTTTAAATAACACTATCTTCAGATGTTTGCAAAGATATGAGAAATTTGAACTACTTCTGTAATTATAGATGGTCTCATAAATATTGCAAAACTTTCAGCATTCTAAACATTCTGAGATAAATCTTATTTTTTTTTAACCATTCTTTAAAGATTAGTCAGTTATCATTAATAAATGCAAGTAAGAAATGGCTCTTGGACCAGGATAAAAGTCTATTGTGCATGTGTTTGCAGAGCTTAGGTGCCAAAGAACGCAAAGATACTCAAGGTATCTCCATCTCTTAGAACAAAGGCGGGTATCAAGAACAATGCTGCTAAATATGAAGCAGAAGGTGCCTCCAGAGAAGCCTCCAGGCAGCAGCGGCAGAGTAATATGGGACATCCATGGATGGGATGGATGCATCCAGGGAAACAGCAGCAGCTGGTCTGCATTGTTCCCTTAATAGTAAAGTCACAAACAGCAGAAACTGGTTTGTTTTTTAAAAAACTTTTTATTTTGTATAGGGATATAGTGGATTAACAATGTTGTGATCATCTCAGATGAACAGCGAAAGTACTCAGCCATATATAAATGTGTCCATTCTCCTCCAAACTCTTCCCCTATCCAGGCTGCCACATAACATTGAGCCGAGTTATGTGTGCTATACAGTTGGATCTCATTGGTTATCCATTTTAAATACAGCTGTGTGTACATGTCCATCCCAAACTGCCTAGCTACCCCTTTCCCCTACAGGAACTGCTTTTAGAGTGAGCAGATCCAGTGTGTTTTCCTTCTTCATTTTCTTTGACTTCTGCAGTATTCAGTACCATTACTTGGCTCCTCTGGTTTTTGAGACACTACCATAGAGCCCGGTGTTGCTTGGCCTTCTGGTCATTTCTCTCCTTTTCTGCTGTTTGTTCCCTTGCTACCTTATCCCAGTCTCTTTCCTTTGAGGAACTCATCAGGTTTTAAGTGTAGAGATAGCTGATAGGGACAGAGTAAAGGGACAAAGTAAGTGATTAAACTGTTAATCCCACTAGGGGATTGTAAGTAGGAAAAAAATATGGAGGACCCCTGTAACAGTTAATGATTATTCAAGAAAGCAGGTTTGCTTCACCACAAAATCAAGCAGGCTTGCTTCGCAATAAAACCATACAACAAAACATGCCCCCAGACAATAAAACGATGGTGGCATGACGCACACCGCCTGCCCATTGAGCTCAGTTAATAAGCCCTAGAACGTGCTCCTGCAGATGTAAAAAACAATTTGTGGACCTAGCTTGGCCATGTTTTGTTGTTGTTTAGTTGCTAAGTCATGTCCGACTCTTGCAGCCATGTGGATTGTAGCCCACCAGGCTGCTTTGTCCATGGGATTTCCCAGCCAAGAATACTGGAATGAGTTGCCATTTCGTCCTTCAGGGGGTTTTCCCGACCCAGAGATCAAATCCACGTCTCCTGAACTGACAGGTGGATTCTTTGCTGCTGAACCACCAAGGAAGCCTAGCTTGACCATGTAGGGACAAGAAAACTCCCTTGCTCAACCTGGAGGAGGAGCTGATAACGGAAGCGTGATATCTACTTGAGAGAGACAAAGACGTACTTCTCTCCCTCCCCACTTTTCCTTTGATTATAAAACTATACCGAGGTCTTGGGGTGTGGCATCCCCTTGCTGTCCGGCTTGTAAGCCTCACAAGGGCCTGTCCCAGTATATCACTTCTTATCTATCACTTTGCCTCTCACTGAATTCTTTCTGTGCTGAGACAGAAGGGACTGTGGTCCTGGAACTCTTTGGAGGCCGCAGAAATGACACCTAAACTTGATAGTTCTGTCTTCAGCCTGAGTTTCAGTTCTGTATTTTCTACCATGAATTCTTCATTCTGTGGTGCATCATCCAAAATGCAACAACTTCTGGCCAGCAGTATCATTATTTCTTTGGGCATAAATTCAGAGTCTTCCTGCTAGGTGTTACGATGGTAAGGAGTATGACCATCTTCTTTACCAGCCTTGGAGAGTGCTTGTTACAAAAGGTTAACTTTCAGTCTCTTTTCCCTGAAAGATAGAATCCTTGCCTCATCTCTTTTTTCCCCCAACACTCCAAATACTATCATTTCATTTTTGCCCTGCTTTTTTTTGCTTCCATTAGGGGGAAAAAAAAAAAGACTAATCTGATCAGTTCTGCCCTTTGTTTCTGCTCTACTAATTCTGCCAAGAAGATTTTTTTCAAATAGGAGGCCAAAGAGAAGGGGGAAATTTGGTCCAGAGGAGGCTTGCCAGACTATTCATGAATTTGGTCATGGTGATGCTGTTAAAACCGGTTTAAAGCAATTCACCAGTTTACATTCTTCCCCTTTGTCCACTGCCTACCCTGTCCAAAGCCCAAATTTCCTTTGTTGGACATTTAAGGAAACATCCAAATTCTTAAAATTCTTTTTCTTGTTTTTTATGCAAGACAAACTTGTTGTTTCTGAAACAGCCCTTTATATTTTCACTTTTGGGCTTTTTGAATATTTTTCTTGTGCCTGGAATATTCTCCTGTCTTAAATATATCACCCTTCAAAGCATAAGATATATCTGAAGGTCTCTGAAGCCTTTGTGCACTTCCTAGTATTCACTGAGCAATCCTGTTTTTCAACTCAGAGCACACACTGGTTCCTTCACTTGGCGTTAACAAATTGCATAATTTATCTTTTTATGCTGTTTTCTTCATTGCTTGAGATTTTCTGTTATCCTTTGTCAAGCACACACTTTTACAACCAGAAACTTCACTATATTTTATTTGATAAAGATGAGTTCTTTATAAAGCCCGAATAAATCCCTGAAGATCATGTTAGCAATTAGATTAAATGAATTTAGTGACCACTATGTTTAAAAAAGATTACTTTCTAGTAGGTTAGAGGGTGGGAGAAGGGAAAGTTATGACTTTATCAGAAACTTCTTTGTTCACAAGGAACTAATCGCCTCCTGGGCGAAGAAGCAGCTGTTCTTTACTTTTTGGGTTGAGTCAACTCAGTTCTCATGTCCTGGCTCATTTCTGAGACGGCCATGCCTATGTGCCAAAAGGGGCAAAGTAGGTGAGTCTTTCAGTCCTGAATGCCGAATAAATAAAGATATTTTTAATGGGAATGAATATATTCATATATAGACAAAATAAACCCACTCTAAAAGCCTCAGGCGTAACCATTCTCTACCCCCGTTCGTCTGAATGCTAACCACCAGTCTTTTATTCCTACAACTAAAGTACTGTATGCATCCCTCAACAAGCCCAAACTGTGCTATTTTTAATCATACTTTTAAAAAACAAGCCTTGAAATAACTCATTTGTATACAACTCCAGCAGCAGGTAGTGCGGGCTTAATACATCGCACAGCTGTTAATTTTGGTTTCTCTTTTGGTAGCCGCACTTAGATACGCAAGTTTCCATCGCGGTCTGGAAGTGTAAACACACGAAATACAAAAACAACCAAGGAATAAAGAAGTCCCAAGTTTGGCGCCCAAACTAGGCGGCGGCGGGAAGGACCAGAGGTCGCCTCCACTCACTGGGCACTCGCGATCTGGTGCGTTCGCGCGCGCCCAGTACCGTTTCCTCGCTCTGGAAGCCTCTCGCGTGCTCCCAAACCGCCCCCTTCGCGGAGGCCGCGGGTCCAGCCCCGCCCCTACTGGGCGGAGGCGGCGGGGCCTTGGCGCGCGCGCGCGCGCTCAAAAGCCCGGATGGGCCGCGGCTTCCGGCGCGGGGGTCCTCGGACGGCAGGGGGCGCGCATCCGGCGCACCTCGGCCAGCTCGGCAGGTTTGGGGGCCTATGCGGCCCGGTGTGACTGAAAGGAAAATGGAGCAAAAAACCTAGTCTGAGGGGTAGCCCTCACCCCTCTGACCGAGGTCCTGCCGTTTTCACCGCCAGGAGCCTCTTTTTTTCTCCGGATCTACTGCGTTCGAGCGCCCCGCCAGCCAGGGCCCTGCGAGTGGAATGGTCGCCGAGGCCCGGGGCGTCGGGCTTCCGCGTGCCCGGTAACGGAAACTGGGGAGCTTCGGGGGACCCCCCCCAACTCCGACTGCAGTCGCGGAAAACCCCAGTTAGTGAGCTTCAGGTACCGGCGTGGAAGCGCGTGGGCATTTCGGGGTGTGCTCTGGGACTTGGGTCTCCCGGCTCGCTCTCCGCCCCGCGCGCAGCCTTTAGGTTTCGTGGTGGGGGGCGCGGGGCACGTGGGTTTGTAGAGGTTTTGTTGGAAGCCGGCGAGATTGTCGCCGCCCGGGAGGAGGGCGGGGTCTTAGGGCCGCGCTCCGAGCGGGCGGGGGGTTTGGGAGGGGGCTCCGAGGGCCTCCGGGGTAAAGGTCATGTGTGCGGGGGCAGCTGCCGGGCTGCGGGCAGCTTCTTGACCCCGAGTCGTAGTAATGACAGGTGTCTGTTCGGTAGCTTCTATTACCTAGGCGCTGAGTCTGGGCAAGATTGGACTGGTTCTGTGGGCAGGTTGACTCAGCTTTTCCTGATGGGCTGGTCAAGTTCGGACACGTTCCGAGTCTGCAGTAGAAGGAGCTAAGCCCTGACTTGTCTCCAGCCGGGGCTAGTTAAACCATGCCTTTTCCCAGCTGTATTCTCTGGCTGTTTGGGAGAGAGAACCTGTAGTCACTTTACGTATAGCACTTACTTTATGCTGATCCAGGTAAGGACCCACTTGCTAACGACTTTACTTTTAGTAAAGGCGTTATTTGTCTCATTTCTATATGATTTTTGTCTTCTTTTTTTAACAGGTGTTTTATTATTTCAAGTTTTTATCGTGTTTTTTTTTTTCCTACTCTTAGGCAAATGTGCAATACCAACATGTCTGTGTCTACTGAGGGTGCTGTAAGCACCTCACAGATTCCAGCTTCGGAACAAGAGACCCTGGTTGGTATTTTTGTCCCCAGTGTAACTTAAACAAAAAGTTATTTTATGAGGTGATGTGCTAAATTCCATAGACTCTTATTATAGCCTGGCTCTTTTAAGTGAAATTGTAGTCCATAGCTTAAATTCTGCCACTCAACTATAACTGTGGAGCAGAAGTTAATTGTAAACATCATTATTTATTTTTAGCTTTTTACCAAACTGAATTTAAAAGTTTCATTATCTTAACTATGGATGGTGAAGTTACTGGTTTATGTGACTGATTTTTCTATTTTGACCTGTCAGCATTTAACTTTTAAATGGTTTCTGAAAGTCAAATAATTCATGCTTGTTGTAAAGATTTTAGACATTACAGAAAAGTATAAAGTAAAAACTGAAAATTCTGGTCTTTTGATCACATTTACTTTTTAGATCTTTTTGTATGTACATATCCACATATATATGTGTACATGTGAGTTTTAATTATGTTCAGTTTATTTTGCTAAAATAGGATTTTATGTATATATATTGGGCAAATAACGTGTCAAAAAATAAAATCTAGAATTCTTCTTTAACTGTGGTAAATCCACAGTGTTTGTATACCATTTTAAAAATTTATGCCTTTAGTGAGAGTTTTTTTACATTGCTTTTAGTTCTTGAGTATTACAAATAGCACTTTGTTTATATATTTTAAGGCAAGTGTTATCTCTCTCTGCCAAAACTGAGTATTATCACTTTATTATTTTGCCATTGTTTTGACAAAGGAATTGTATCGTTTAAATTTGTATTTCCCTAATCTTTGGTGAGGTTGGGCATCTTGTCATTTGTTGAATTTGTGTCTTTTGGAATTTGCTTGGTCTTATCTGTATACTTTTCTTTTAGGCTTAATGGTTTTTCTTAATAATTTGTAGCTGTTCTCTGTTTTAAGTGTATTTGGTTTTTATCATTTATAAGTGTTAAAATTAACTTTGCTTATGTGGTCTTTAAGTAAAATTTGATTTCTGCTGACATTTGAATTTCATGTCATGCCTTGGACCAACTCTTCCCTCCCAAGAATATATTGCTGTATATATTTGTATACAGCAAATATATTGCTGTATTTTCTTCTAGTGCTTTTTCTTTTTTCATCTAGGATTTTATTTATGTAAGATTAAAGAATGGTATTTTTATAATAATTTTCTTATTAATGCATGTCTTTTAAGTCTTAAAAAGCTTATGGCTTGTAAAGTAATTAGCCTCCAACTAATAAAAATAAATGAAGATAAAATAAAAAGCAAAAAAGCTTATGGCTTTTCATTGCAGATGTTTAATTTTGCGTTGTTTTATATAGTTTGAAATTAATATAACAAAATTTTAGAAAAACAACTATGTTCTCTGGGAGAATTGATTCTTTAAATAACTTGAAAATAAAGCTCATGATGTAAGCACACGGGGGAAAGCTCATGATGAGAACAATTAATGTTTAATACTACATTCATTGTGTATTTAAAATTTCTCAGGTATTAAATAATGTTCGTTGATTAGCAGGAAACAGGCAGTTTTCTTAATCTAGTTTTGAGAATTAGATCCCAAACTGGGTTGCTGTCAGATTTCAAAGTTAGATAGGACTGGAGTAGACTGAAGGGAGGTGCAGAAGCACCAGCCTGTAGAGTGGTTGTGTAGCTGTAAAGATTTTGAAGATTTTAATATAGCAACAGATAGAAAGAACAAAAACACATTACATCCCTGCCCCCTTGCCGGTTATTTTCTCAATACAACTTGCAAAGCCTCTGGATCAGAGGCAGCAAACTACAGGCCATGAGCCAAATTTGGTCTGCTGCCTAATTTTGTGAATAGTTTTATTGAAATGCATCCACATGCATTCGTTGCATATTATTTATGCTTCTGAGTCATACTGTCTGGTGAGAGAAGCTTTAGAATATTTACTGTCTGGCTCTTTAAAGAAAAAAGTTGACCCTTTCATCTAGTTGGCTGGCTCTTTCAATACAGGTTATTCATTGTGTTGGTCATTTTGGTGTTTGTGCAATATCCAGTACTGTCTGGTGCATGGCAGAAGCTCAAAAAATGCTTGTTAAGTAGATACGTGACTGTCTGGTGCATGGCAGAAGCTCAAAAAATGCTTGTTAAGTAGATACGTGGAATATAGCCAGCTAAAAGTCAGCCTGATACTGTAGTAGGAGGAAAATGCTGGCTTGCTATTGAGGGTTGTGAGTTGTATTCAGATCTGCTCTTAATTATCCTTGTCAGCTTGGTTAAAGTTCCCTAACCTTCATGAACCTAATCTGCAGAAAGAAAAGGTTGGTAAAGGGACTCAGTGTAAATTAGATTTATTTTTTTCTCTCAGATTTTGTAATTTAGCTTACAGTAAGCTCGTTTGAGTATTCAGTTTACAGTTGAGCTTGTAAGGTAGTAAGCAGATGATAGAAATAGCTGGAGGGAAAAGAGTAAGTTTCACTGCCTTGGTGTGAATGTTGATCACAGCTGATAATGCTTGAGGGGCCTCTGATTACTTGCATAATAATTCTGTGCCAGTATTTTTCTCCCCAAACACAGCCCATGGTATTCCGTTTGCATAGTCTGTTAACATTTAGTGAAGACATTATGACTGACTTTTTGGAGTCTAATCTTGTGAGGTTCCTAGACATTGTGTTTGCTACCCTTTTTGAAATTCTTTATGGATGAGTTTCCTGCAGGTCTTATGGTTCTGGAATGATTTAAAAGTATGATAGCAACTCTTTGTTCTTTATAGGTTAGACCGAAGCCATTGCTTTTGAAGTTGTTGAAGTCTGTTGGCGCACAGAAGGACACTTATACTATGAAAGAGGTATGCTGAACAAGTTTTTAAAAAAAGTCTTCCTGGTTACATACAGCCATGGTAAGGAATTGGCCATATAGAGGGATTTTCAGTAAGCAGTAATATTAAGTATTGTGCTCATTTGGACTGGAATTTGAAGCTGAAAATTCAGTTTATACTCGAATTTCATTTCTTAGCTGGGAACCTCAGACAAGGGGAAGCTCTATAGGAGTTTTTTGCCTTTTTGTGCTGTTAACCCACTTGATGCACTAGTGTAAAGTCTTTTCAGACTGGTAATTCTTTCTCAGAATCATGTTTTTAAATGGATGAAATAAAATATATAGGATTACAGTGGGAAAATTACATTAAAATATAGTTAACAAAATAGTAAACAAGTTTGTGATACATGCTTTTTTGTGAACACTTTAATTCAGCAACAGATCTAATAAATTAATTTGGAAGTTGTAAGCATAATTGGTATTTTGAGATGTTTACATCAAGCATAGTATGATATGAGAAATGCTTGTGATTTTTTTTATTGGTGACAAAATCACAGTTATTATTAATACTTTGTGATTTGTTGCCTGTATTCATAATTGAAGGAAAAGCTAAATTTCAGTTAAAAGGCAGTGAGAATATAGATAGACAGTTTATTTCCCACCCAAATTAATGGACCCCCTGAATTCTATCCAAGGACTTTTTGGGCATCCATGGATCCCAGGTTAAGAGCTTCTGCACTAGAGATACATGAGTACAGTATACTGATCTTTCTGGGATAGAGGTGAGCTGATTTGTGAACATGCATTCTATTTAATAGATAGATTTCAATGTGTTGTTCTCTAGCTTTGAATTTGTGCACAGAAGCATGCTTTTCACTGAGAGATCGGGCTGTCTTGGGTAAAATTTGATGTGAATGAAATGTGTCTCTTCCCCATCTCTCACAGTTTATGGGGCTCAGATTACTTTAAAATACTGAAGTACCTTATCTATATCAGGATAGTGGGCAAGAAGAGATTTCAGATCCTTTTTATTTTTAGCCACACCAGAAATTTTCTTACAAGATGTTTGGTAGAATGAATCTAGGTTGTCTTCCTTCTTCCTTTCTCACTGTCTACCATTTCTGATCCACAGTCACATAGAAATATTCCTTTAAGTTTGAAAGCTGCGTAGCCAATTAAGTCTATAGATGGTGCTTGCAGGGAAGTATCAAGGTAAATGATGTTTTTAGGGATGTTAACTTGGGTCTGATCTTATGTTATTATATAATCAGTTAAGGAAACAAAAAAATATGACTTTAGAAATAAGGAGAAAATTGATCAAGACCATGATAAAGACTTAAAATGCTTATGTTAGACCATGTAGAGTGATGTATATGTTGTCTGACACAGTTTCCAGTTGTAGAATCTTTGTTCTGTGGTATGTGGCAGAGTAATGAAACCTGGTATGGAGTAGTAGAAAGAAAGAAACACTGGACTAAGAGTCAGAAGACCTGGTCAGTTTCTTTACTTCTCATATGATTTATGAAATATCAGAAGAAAGAGAAAGTACTCCTAAAAGTACATTGTAAACTGTAAAATATTTAACCATATATGTATGATTCAGGGCCATTATTTGGTCACTTACTGTATACATTACACTGGTATCTTTGAGGGCTTAGTTCCTGCATTGAGTTCTCCCCAGCTGTTACGTAGATGTAATTAATTGGTCATTATCTTGTCTTCCTCATCTGTGATGACCTCAGGTTATTAAGGTGTATGGTATCCAGCACTATTTAGTAAATGACTCCAGGTCACTGCTATATTTTAATTGATGTTTTTGATTCTGCAGCTTTTTATTGTTATCATTGGTTTTGCATTTTGCTGCCTTTTACTTTCTTCCAAATAAGTAATACCTAGATGTCTGGGCAAAGGAGAAGTCTGCCCTCCCCCACCCCTGGCCAGAGACACCTTTTAAAGTTTAAGTAAATCAGAAACTGTGTTTCTACTTCCCTCAAATTAAAAGGAGAACATATAAAATCAGCTCTTTACTTTTTTAAGAGTATAGGATGGTTGTTATTTAGATGTGGTTATTGATGTGGTTGTTGGTTGTTTAACCCTCTTCAGATAAATGAGATGTTACTGAGTGTATTTGAAACTTAACATTTAATTTTCTTTAATGCTCAGAAATCATATTTCTATTTCAGGTTATATTTTATCTTGGCCAGTATATCATGGCTAAACGATTATATGATGAAAAACAACAACATATTGTGTATTGTTCAAATGATCTTCTAGGGGATTTGTTTGGAGTGCCAAGCTTCTCTGTGAAGGAGCACAGGTAAGTCTTTCGTCTATAAAATGCCAGCTGGGCAAACGTTTCAGTTCACCTCCATCGTCACACCATTTTGTCAGAGAAAATTGTTAGAATATGTGTAAAAGATAACTGAAGTTTAATTTCTTAGTATTACAGCATATTGTTTGAGAACCTGAGTTCTGGAATTTTACAGGCTTGGGTTTAAGACCTAGCTCAGTCATTTACTAACAGTTAAATTAGGCAAATTGGGTTAAGCCTTAAGTTTCCCCTGCATATGAAGTAGGAATAATATAAATATCCTAGAGGTTATAAGTAAGCAGTGTGTTAAAAAAAAAAAAATAGTGTTTGGCACATGGAAAGCATTTAAGTATTAGCTACAAGTTACTGCATATTAAAAAAAATATTCTTGTAATCATTTCCAAAGACAATCTTCATGTTATCTTGTGGTTAAAGGCTTAAATTTGAGCTCTAGTTACTTTGGAGATCTTTTTCTTTGTCATATAACATTGTGACCCTCAATCAGCTGCATTTAACCCAGGTAACATTTCTAGAATTGTTCTCCTGGAAATTGAAGACCCTTTTTTCAGTCATTCTTACTTTACATTTGGAATTCCTTTCATTTGATTTAGGACAGTTAGTCTCTTTGCAGTGTCTTAATTAATGGGATGAATACTTTTCACCTGAAACATTTAACTAGCTTCTAGTATTTAAGGCTCAATAATATTATAGATAAAAAGACAATTAAGTTGGGATATTTATAACTTTAAAACAACTTCACACTTAAAAATATATATTCATTATTAAGATGAGAGAGAGAGAAAGCTAATATAAGCATCTTTCCACTGACAAGCCATTTATGTTTAATATTTTATTTTATACTTGGTCTTGGCATATAAGCTTTAATTTTATAAAATAAATAACTTGATAAATTTGCACTATATTAAATATTGATAATGTTTGGAGCTGTAATTTCTGATACTGAAAGTACAGATTGAAAATTATTTTTGACTTGAAGTCTAATGTGTTAAGGTTAAACACTTGTGAAACTACTGACTTGGGAATGAGATATGAATAGGAATATTGGTTTTTGTGAGTTTAAGGTGCTATATTATTAGTCCCAAGGATGAAAACAATTAGCTGGGATTGGCACTTTCCCCTTAACCTTGAGAATTAGAAATGTCTTGTGACCAATAAATGTTCTCTAAAATCATTAATTGATTTAAAAAAAGAAGTACCATGACTTCATTGAGTACTGGCATAAGTGAATTGTTTCGTTATGTTCCAGGAGAGCAGAGATTTGTTTTTATTTCCTTCTTTGTTTTCCCCAATTTCTAGAACAGTGACTAGTAGTCAGCCTGTATTAAATGATTGTATACTGTTTCATCTTTTAATTTTCAGATCAAGAAAGAAAATCCATTAGATGATTGATCCAAGGTTGATGAAAGTCAAAACTATAAATCAAGTTCCTATGTATTGGGTTTTACATAACCTACTATCTTTTTAAGGCAGTCTGCTTCTATGCCCAGAGCTAAATAATTTCTATTTGAAAATAAGAATGTTAACCTGCCTTATGTTTTCATACCAGTTTTTGTGGACTTTTGCTAAAGTCTAAACAGTGCATGTTTCAGGAAATGGAGATGAGAAATCTTTGATCTAGGGAGACCTTAGTGATTATTAAAAATGACTGTATGTAAATCATTGTGCAACTAATTATTTTGGTGCTTTTTAGTGTCTAGGAGTTTATCAGTACTTGAATGTAATAATTTAAAATTTGGGTTGTAGTATGATAGTTTATACTAATATACAGTTAAAAATCCTGTTCAGCCCAGTTTAATATATTTTTATTTTAAAATGTACATCTTTTTTTCTCTATAAGGAAAATATATACAATGATCTACAGAAATTTGGTAGTAGTCAGTCAGCAAGGTAAGTTAATTTTGAATGCCATAAACCATATACTGTAAAAATATCTTAAAGCCATTTTGTGGATGTGCAGACATTTTATAATTGTGATTCTCTTTAAAAGTTGCTCTAATTGTATATTTAATTATAGACAGGGTATGATAAATTTAGCAGGAAGATATACATATGAACACAAATAACATAATGCTAAGTTTCTCGTGCACATTTGCACTATATCCTATTACATAAATTTAAACCTTGGGATGTCAGGTTAGAATTTGTTTTGAAAGGTAGATAATTTCAAAAGATGCTGCATGGTAGACATATGATCTGACCTTGAAACATGTATTCAAAGACTTTGGGAAGTAATCCAGCTACCTAGGTAGGACCATTTGAGTGGAAGGGCCCTTTTCTTGTGTGTTTTTTATGATAGACAAAGCTTTGTTCACCAGTTTCTTCAGGTGAGTGCCATTTTACTTCCCTTCCTTTAGATATAGTTCTTAACTGGTTACGTTTGGGTTACATAACCCGTTGATAATCTGATGAAAGTGCTAGGTTCTTATTCCTTAAAGATATACCTAAACATATACAGTGATACTCTGGTAAATGTTTAACAGTCCAATCTCCAGGGAAAGAGCCTTGATTTGTGGTTACTGGTTTTCATGATACAAATACTCTTAACCTTGACCGTTTCAACTGCAAACATGGGGTTAGGAAGAAATGTACATTTGGCTAGGGAGTGCTGGTAGGAGCTGGCTCCAATATACCACAGACTTCTCAAAGTCCATTTTTGGTCTGTAATTAAGAACTGTTCTCAGAGGCTTATTTACTTTCCAGAATGAACTGACCACCCCTTTGAGCTCTGTTGTTCCGTACTAGATTTTATTGTTATATTGCTTTGTTACTCTTACTTGCTATTCATTTGTGTCCTCTTCAGGTTTGCGATCTGCGTCACATAGGACAGTGTTTAGTAATAAGGTCTTCTAGTAAATGTAAGACCCAGAAAAGGGCATCGCCATCTTATCCTAGAATAGAAGTAATTATTAGGCTGGTAACTTGGGATTTTGTTTCACAGAGCACTTTTTGAAATCAAATGAAGGCAAATAAACAACGACAGTATCTGTTGTAGGATTTTCAGTTTTCTGAAGTATTATCCCTGATGTATTCATTCATTTAAATAAACCTTTGTTGATTGCTAGGAAAATTGTATTAATGAGATGGTAACCTGTACGTTATTTCGATTATGAGTTTGTTTCAGGTTTTAGTTTACCTAATTAACTTCAGAACTCCTTTGTCATTGTTCTCAACCTTACTATACTTAGCACTTCCCTTTTATTATGTCTGTTTTATAACATCTCTTACACTAAAACAAAATGTAACCTATTCATTTGGACAACTGAAAATCAATATACCTTTACCTATAATACAAAAGAGAAACTTTTTAATGATAATGCATATCATTTCAAAATGTTAATACTCAGACCTGGCTTCACTGTTAAGGTGAAATGTTTCCAAGGGAATAGTGAAGGGTATTTGATTATGATCTTTGGTGATTGTATATATTCCATATCTGAAATTTTGACTTGCACTGTGGGTCTATACATCCACATACAACTAAACCTACCTACCTGAAAGATACCCACTTCAGTTCGTTATTTTCCCATTCAAATCTGTTCATCATCTGAAGTTTCTGTCTTGGTGAATGATACACCACCCATTTATCCACCCAAGGTAGAATCTTGGAATCCTTGACTCCCTTCTTCCTTGCCTTGTGTATTAGACACCAGGTTTCTGTCGGTTTTTACCTTTTTTAATTTCTCTGGAATTGGCCTTTTTTCCATGTGTTAGTTTAGGCTTTAATGCTTTTCCTGTGTGTAATTGCAGTTGCTAACACTGGTTTCACTGCCCTGTTCTCTTCTATTTTGGCAGAGTGAGTTGTCACTCCTCTGCTTAAAGTGACCATTTAGGGGTTCCTTATTACTCGCTGGCCAAAATACTTGCTGTGAACTAGCAGATCAAGTTTATTTCTTAGATTAAACTGTTCTAATGGTGAGTGGCTGCAGCAGTGCCTTAGGGAGGAATGGGAAGTATTAGCTGAGAAGGATGCAGTGATTTGCAGTTGGTGACATGCGTACTGCTTGTTGATATCTTTGTGCTGTTTAGCAAGACCTGCAGGATCCTTGATGATCCTGCTCACAGTCCCATAGTAATGAGCACCTCTAGTTCTGCAGCAGACACAGGGGGCTCACTTTGGGACGCTTTTTTCACACCGGGCTCCCTCAGTCTGAAATAGCCTTTCCCAGTTGTATTTCCACATATTCAGTTACGAACCCTTTCCTGATTCTGTGTTACTCAGACCTTGCCTTATCTCTGCCAAATAATCATTGCTCCATACTCCCATCTTCTCCGTTAATTTACTTCTTTTAGTGTGTTTATTGTACTTTATGAGGATTCTTACGTATCTTCTATATTAAAATGAATTATCGATTTACATCTCTAGTACCAGCACAGGATGGCACTTGGGAGACTACAGGTTCAATGTTGGTTGAAAGTTAAACTGTATAAGGACTTTGTCCTAGATAGCATCTACTGAGTAGCCCTTCCTTTCCTAGTTTGTGATTCTTCATTTTTATTTTCTATCAGAACCATCAGATTCAGGCACATCTATGAGTGAAAACAGGTGTCACCTTGAAGGAGGGAGTAATCAAAAGGTAATATTGATACAAACTCATTCTACTATGATGTTTCTTGAAAATTGGGGAAGGTTGTTTAAAACGATGTTTTTTTAGCTTCCTGGTGTTATAAGTTGTGGGTTTTTTTGTTTGTTTGTTTCTCCCTTGAATGCTTAGGACCTTGTGCAAGAGCTGCAGGAAGAGAAACCTTCTTCTTCAGATATGGTTTCTAGACCATCTACCTCATCTAGAAGGAGAGCAGTTAGTGAAACAGGTATATATGAATATTTAATTGGCACTTTCAAACTGCTTTTCATTTTTCATTTTTTACTGATACTAGTATGTTTAGGCTTAAATTGTGCTTTTTTTGGTTTATGTGAATGAATTTCTGAGGTTGTTATTTTTATATGATTTAGTTGGCTTAAAAATTGTTTTCTTGGCAACATGTTTCTGGTTGACTACAGCAGGCACAGTTTACTGTGTCCTGTATTTTATAGTCGGCTCTCTGCTAGTCAGCATAATAGAGGACAAAGATTTAAACTGTTTTAGACATCATTCTTAGTCACCTTAACAGTTAAAGTAGTTGTTATTTCTAATAAATAAAACATAGCAATGAGTTTAAAAACAGAAAGTAGCATCTTAGAAATGAAGATGAGGTAAAAATAGCTGAGAGCATTTTTAAAAGAGAAAAGAGTAGGGAGGAGGCTGTTACCCAGTGAAAGTCATAATAACTAAAACTGTATTTCAAGTGAAAAAAAAGAATTTAGCAGATCACTGAGGTTATATAGATAAACTCAGGGTAGAGTTTTGTACACGAGGGCGAAGGGCAGAAAGTGCAGAGGATGTCTTACTAATAAATACATAGGACTAGAACAAATGGTTAGTTATTTGGGGCTGGGAGTGGGGTGGGGTGGGAATCAAATTACATCTGTACATTATGCCAAAATGAATACTCAATGACTTTAAAAGATAAAGTAAAAATTACAACATACTGACATAAATTCAGTTTTAAAATTCTGTTAATATTTTTATTATATTAAAAGTTTCCAAAAATCAGTAAGAAAAATATTAAAAATCAAAATTGCAAATTTCATAGTAAATACAAATGACTAATATGAGGAGGGATAGATTTTAGTGATTTAGCTTTATAGACAACAAAAAAAATGCAAAAAAGATGTCTTTTCTGGTCTTTCACATTAGCAAAGATAATTTAAAAAAAAATTTTTTTTAAATTCTTGCTAACTTACATTGTTGACACTAATACACCGGTGGTAACATCAGTTAGTATAAATTGATTGACCTTTATATGAATTATAAAAAGGCTTGAGGTCCTTAACATTATCGTGGTTAACTCCACTTCTAGGAATCTCTCCTAAGGACATAGTCAGAAATTCAAAGATTATATGTAGAGATATTAAGTAAAGCATTATGCATAGCTGAAAACATACGTGATGCCAGAGAATGTCATCATTCTAGCCCAGACCATTGTCATCTCTCAGCTGGGCCACTGCAGCAGCTTCTGAGTTTCTGTTTCTAGTTACTGCTGCTGCTGTCCTTTACCACAGTACCGAGAGGGATCATAAAAGGTAGACTGGATTGTGTTATGCCAGATCCCCGTTAGCTATTTTGAAGCTATTAACCTTCAAATAAAACCCACACTTTTACATTGGCTTGCAAGGCCTGATCTATTTTTATTCTGGTTTTTGGCCTTTTCCCCTACCTTCACTGTGTTTCAGCTGCATTGATTGCTTGGTTCTCAAACAAGTCAAAATTCTTTCCAGCTTGCACCAGTTTTTTTTCTTCAGGAATTCTGTCTCAGCCTTGTGAGACCCAACTCCTCATTTTTAAATTTTTGCTTAATTATTACTTTGTCAGAGAGGCTGCCTCTAACCACCCAGAAAAGTAGATCCCTTTTTGTTACTCTTTTCCTTGGTACCCACTTGTTTTCCTTGATAGCACTCATTATAGCGTGAAAATGGTTGTGTTTTGGTTGCCTTGGTGTTTGAATGTAAACATCCTCTGGTGGTAGGGATGATGGCTGACTTCACTTTTACACCCACTGCCTAGCACTGTGCCAGACAGAACCCAGTGCTCAGATTTGTGGACTAAAATAGTTCAGTTATGATGAACATACATTATGGACACTATATTCTCAGGCATTAAAAATAATGTAAAAGAATATTTAAGAGAAAACAGCTCCTGGTGGTCCTTTTTTAGTGGTTCTGCAGTTCTGTTTTAGTGGTGAGGAGTTGGTGCTTTCATTGCTAGGGCCTGGGTTGGATCGCTGGTTGGGAAACTGAGATTCTGCAAGTCATGTAGTGCAGCCAAAAAAAATTAGAAAACAATCCCAAATTACACATACAGTGAGATATTGGTATGTTTAAGAAGAAATAAATTTTTTAAATGACAGCTGGAAAATTACTAAAGTGTTAATAGTAGTTATCTCAATAGTAATATTACAGATGATTTACCTTTAAATTTCTATTTCTCAAGAGATTAATACAATAAGTAATATAATACTTTGATAATCAGAAAAAGCCCCAAAGGTTATTTTTTAATAGAGTTAAAAAAAATATTCTGGACTTTGAAAAAATAGGATCAACAGCATGGTTTTAGCCTTCTAGCCCACATCTTTCAGTCCAGGTCACCTTTTCTAATAGTATAAACATGATTAAGAACTTCTATCAGAAACTTGTGATCTTAGAGGATATAAATGTGTTTTGGGAAATCAGAGGAAGAAGAGATTACTTCTGACCAGGAAGGTTAAGAGAGGGAAATGGAATGAGCATAGGTGTGGGTTGTACCTGTTTCACGCATACAGATTAGGATTATATTTTATTAAATCTCATAACCCTCTTAGGTACTTAGCACCCTTGCACATGTGTTTTTAAATGATTGTGCAGGTATTATCTACAATAGAAAAACTGCCATAAAATGTTACACTGTTTGGGATTTTTACCAGTAGTGTATAAAAAGTCCTTTCTCCCAAATCTCTTGAGACTGCTTCTCATTTTGGTTTTTGTCATTCTCACGGCTGGAAAATGGTATCTCATTTCAGTTTGCATTTCTTTGATCACTAGAACGTAAGCCATTTTTTCATGTTTATTAGTCATTTGTATTTTATGAATTGAACTGTCCTTTGACTTTTTAAAAATTTTGTCTTTTACTTGATTGGCAGGAGGACTTTGTGTAAATGGATATTAACCATTTTCTAATATATATTGCAGTTCCTTTTTAGTCTGACATTGCCTTTTCATTTTTATTTATTGTATTTTATATTGTTACTGAGTTTTAATTAACATAACCTAATCTTGATAATCTTTTTCTTGAGGGCTTTGTAGTGTTACATTATACTTTCCCGCCCTTCCCATTCTTATATAAAAGTAGTTGGATGGTTTTGCTCTTTGTGTTTGGTTTTTTAATCCACTTGGAGTTTATTTTTATGTCTGGTATGAGGTAGGACTCTCATTTATATTCCCGACAGATTTGGTAACATGCTGAGTTTAAGTTAATTTCTTATTTAAAATAAAATGGATCAGGGACTTTGTTGGTGGTCCAGTGATGAAGACTATGAGCTTCCACTGCGGGGAGTGCAGGCTTGAGTCCTGGTCAAGGAACTAAGTTCGTGTGTGTCACCTGGCCCAGTAGATAAATAAATAAGCCACATGGCCAAATAAATAATAAATGGACCAATTCTGCCAACTGTGATTCCTGTTAAAAATACTGGGTACTAAGGAAACTCAAACATTAAGAATACCTTCTAGGTAAATTAAATAATTTCAAAATCTTTTAAAGTTTGACAGAAAAATTCTAAGACTGGTTAGTAAAAACTCTAGATGGATTAAATTAATTGTGACTGGATAAAGTTCTGAAACAAGCTTTAAAAGTTTTTTTAAAATGTAGTGTTCTGCCATCAGTTGGACAGATCCAGTAGAAGTGTTGACTTTTGAAGCATTCATTATTTTTCTGTTTAATTTCATTGAAACAGTTTTAGTACAGATAGGTAACTTAAGACAGCTCAATGTTTAAATAAATTACAGTATAGCAATTTAATTGTTTTTCTTTACATATTTAGAAGAAAATTCAGATGAATTACCTGGTGACCGACAGAGAAAGCGCCACAAATCTGATAATATTTCCCTTTCCTTTGATGAAAGCCTTGCTCTGTGTGTAATAAGGGAGATATGTTGTGAAAGAAGCAGTAGCAGTGAATCGACAGGAACTCCATCAAATCCGGTAATCCTCTAAAGTCTAGTTCTGGCATTCCTAATAGGCATTCAGACAGAATGTACATGTATGATGTATGATTGCTGCTATGCACTTGGTAAATTTGTTTTCTTTCAAATGAAACTATAGGTCTTCCCTACTCCTAACCCAGGTTTGGCGAAAAAGGTGGAAGATAATGGAGTTGCACTGGAGTGTGTTGCTAAAGTTCGTACCAATGTTAATAGTTTCTAATGTCACCCTACATATTGGAGAATCTTTGTGGGCCACTGCACCAAAGATAATCTTAGAATTCTAAACGATTTTGTCTTGAGTATTTATAGTAAAAATACCTTACCACAGCTCTCAGCTGTAATCTCATCTTCACATTTGCCATATGTAGGTCTAGACCTCAGGGAAAGTATTTACCAAGACCATGAGATATTTGTATATTATTGCATGGATGATGGGAAAATATCAGTACTTTTTGATTACTGATAGAATAATTCCAGAGTGTTAGCCAGCATTAGTGTTTTTAAGATACCACTGAAGGAGGGTTTGTAAAGAAGTTTTTGCCAACAGGAACACTTAACAAATGGAATATTTTCTTGTCATTATACATTTGTCTTTAAAATGAAATTAAAATTGGAATCTTTATTTGTGATATGGCAGTGTCTCATGGCCATTCTGTATATTAGTGATCATTTTATAGTTTTATAGAATATGTAAAGAACTGAACCAATTATGATAGTAACCATGTTCTTTTTATGTATTCTTATTACTTTATTATCTTTGAGTTTTTTTCTTCTGAAGCAGGGATTTTATTGATAAGAGATGCACCCTCTAGATTTAATGTTTAGTAGAGCCGCTACTTGTACAGGCCACTAGATGGCATGGTGAGCCCTCCTCCAAGAGCAGGCTCTTCATCCGGTAGATGTCTGTGCCTTTTCTGGGACAGGTCTCTCTTGGCAGTACTGATACAGCAGCAGTCGAGGTAGATACGGTCCTTGCCCCTGTTGGGAGATAGGTCAGCAGCAATCAAACAAATAATTTAAACAGTCAATAAATGCTGTGAGGGAAGAAACAGATTCTTGAGAGCAAATATGTGTGATTTAAAAATTGAATCCACCCTGGTAGCTCAGACGGTAAAGCGTCTGCTTACAGTGCAGGAGACCGGGTTCAGTCCCTGGGTCGGGAAGATCCCCTGGAGAAGGAAATGGCAACCCACTCGAGTATTCATGCCTGGACAGTCCCATGGACCGAGGAGCCTGGTAGGCTACAGTCCATGGGGTCACAAAGAGTCGGACAAGACTGAGCGACTTCACCTCGCTCACTTAAGTTAAACGTGGTGTGTCACGAACTTCATGTTTGGATAATTTTATTCCTTACAGATGGTTTTAATACAATAACTATGCCCCATTGAAACTTACAGTCTTTGTTAAAGTTGTTTCAGAATTCTAGGTAAGTGATACTAAAAGGTTTTGTTCATTCTACCCGGAATACTTGTAACCAAAGCAGTGTAGAGGGTACTTTTTTTGTTAGTCCTATTCTATGCTCTCTTCTAAAAATCCTCTTTATTAAAATAAAGTTGTGTTGTTTTTCAGGTGAAGTCCCGAGTTGTGAAAGCTTTTGGTTGGGTTGATGTTTTTTCTTTCCCTCTTCATTTTGGCTCATCTCACATGAGGTGGTTGTCTGGTGTTGTCATTCATCAGTTTGTGAAGGGAGCTAAAGGAAAGTGCCTTTGCTTCCCATCTTTTCTTTCTTTTGAGTTCAATATATTGGAACTGAGGGCTATATTCTAGGCTCTATACTAGGCAAATACCATATTTTGTCACCTGAGCAACCTCAAACTCCATTTATAGATGGGAAAACTAAGACTTGGGGTTTCAAATAACTTTAGATCACATAACTAATAATCAAAATTCAAAAAAACAGATTTTAATATTTTTCCAGATCAAGGCTGTCTGATGCTGTTTAAATACACAGTGTTTAAAAGTTTCTAGGTTTTTGTTTTATGAACATCGGGTGAAACTTCTGAAACCTACCTTAAATTTTGCTTTCTTCATAGAACCCCTTAGGTAAGCATGGGCCAACTTTTTCTGTGAAAAGATGGATAGTTAGTGTATTCTGATTTGACTTAAGATTTTAGTGTGATTGTTAATAGAGGACCCCCTCCCTTTTTTTTTAAGAGTTAGAACTGCAATTCCAATGTTACTTTTACTATTTTCCTAACATGGTTTAAAATATTTTAGTCTTTTGACCTTAGTGGTTATAAAATAATATACCTTGTTTTTATAAATGATTAAATATTAGTGATCATTTAATCCAAACTCATGTTTCATGGATGAAATCGTTGTGGCGTTTACAAACTGAATGTGTCTAAGCTTAAAGGCACTTAATGACAAATCTAAAATAAGAATGTGTGTATCCTGACTACTAGACCAAAGTACTTTTTCTGTTTCTAGCTTCTGCTTTACGTATGTTCTACCCTTAGCCACTGATGGCAAATATTACAGGACTGAAGGTCTTAGTTTCTTATACTGTTAATCAGAATTTTAAAATAGGAATCACATGAGCAGATACAAAATTTTTTAAATAAATTTTAAAAATTATATATGAAAGCTCTTCCAAAGAAATTCTCTAAGTTCATTAAATATAAATCCTAATTATTGTATGTGTTATAACTACTAGCATCAAGATATAAAGATGAATAGAAATTGTCTTAACTCTTAAAGTATGTGTAATTCAGATAAACATGCATGCAAAATTATGTTTTGTATAATTTGTGTGTGAAAATAATATATGAGTTATTAAAGGTGGGAGTGTTTTTTTAGTTACAGTGTTGACAAAGCCTTCGGCAAAAAAGAAGGAGCAGGATTTGAAAACTCAAGTCATTCCAGTTAGGGAGGACTTGTGTGGAAGTTGAAGTTTGGTCTAGAAAACAATCCGGATCTGGCTAATTTTTCATATTTAGTGAAGGGGAAGCAGTGTGTTTAGTTGGAGAAAATATGAAAATGTTAATATAGATGTTACTGTGTGTACCTTGAATGCCAAGGGAATTTGGCCTTTTTCTTAAATGGAGTTTTGAACAGAGAAAATACTTATCTAGTTGTAACTCAGAAGCTTAACCTAGTGTCCATGTGTAGAATGGGACTGAGGGGAAATTAGGTGCACAGAGGATGAGTTAAGAAGCTGTTACAGGTAATGTCCATTAAGTCATCTTTTTCTTGCCCCTGATTCTAGGATCTGGATGCTGGTGTAAGTGAACATTCAGGTGATTGGTTGGATCAGGATTCAGTTTCAGATCAATTCAGTGTAGAATTTGAAGTTGAGTCTCTTGATTCAGAAGATTATAGCCTTAGTGAAGAAGGACAAGAACTCTCAGATGAAGATGATGAGGTAGTTTGTTTCTTTTCTCTGATTATATTCTAAAATTCTTATATATGTTCCATATTCATTAACTGAGATTGAAATAATGTTATCAGATTTCACATCACAATTTTTGACTCTTGATTTATTCAAACTAGAATATTGGTTTGTGGACTTGAGGCTTTGTAATTCCTTGTTGTCTTATTTATATTTTTAAAAATACAGTGTCAAGAAATCAGTAGGCCTTAATGAGCATTGTAATAGTCTGCTTGTTTTAAAATTAATTCATTTCTCCTTTTTTCACTGTTAATTTACTTTTTATAAAAATAAAGCATGCAATTAAAGTCACATACTACCACCAGATCTGTTTCCTAAAAATGACCAGCTTGAACATTTCTAGCTATTTCACTGTTACTTAATACTTGCATATTTATAAAACAAAACTGCTTGTATTGAAGTTTTTACTTGATTCATTTTAAACATCCTCTGTGTTGACTTTCTGTGGTAGTGGGTGAGGATTTTATTGTCCTCTATTTCTCTCCCTTTGTATTCACTCATTCCATGTGACCTTTGTCTCAGATTTCTCATATATAGCACAGTTGGACCACAGGTTCCACGTCTGCAGATTCAACCAAGTGCAGCTTGGAAATATTCAAGTTAAAAAAAAGATTTCCAGAAAGTTTCAAAATGCAAAACTTGAATTTGCTGTGACCCATCAACTGTTTACATAGCATTCATGTTGCATTTACAACTTTTTATATAATACTTACATTGTATTAAGTATTATAAACAATCTAGAAATGATTATATTATAGAGGAGGATGTGCATAGGTAGTATGCAAATACTGTGCAGTCTTACACAAAGGACTTAGGTGTCTGCAGATTTAGGTATCCTCAGAGGGTCCTGGAACCAGTCTTCCCACAGATACAGAGGGACAACTGTAGTACATATTGTTTGTTTAGGACTTAACACTGACAGGTCTTACTGGTTGAAGAAGAAAGGTGGTGAATCAATGCTAATGTTGTTTTGTTTGTTTTAGGTATATCGAGTTACTGTGTATCAGGCAGGCGAGAGTGATACAGATTCTTTTGAGGAAGATCCTGAAATTTCCTTAGCTGTAAGTATACATTTATTTTTTTCAAGGAATCAAAAAATAGCTTTGAGATCAAGATTAAAAAAAATATATCTAGTCTTCTACCTCTTGACATAACTTTTATAAACTTAAATTGTGAAGTTTTAATGACTTTTGAAGTATTTTTGTTCTTTTATTGGATTGGAATCTGTTGCTACTCTTTTTAGTTTTTTTGTGTGTGCTGGAATTTGAACTTTTAAAGAACTGTATTAAGGAAGATTTTGAGTATATATAACATAGAGAATAGTTCAGTGTATCTCCTTTATACTTATCATTCAGTTCTAACATTTACCGACATTTTGCCAGTCTTACCAAATATAAATATTTTCATATTAATTTGTATTAGAACAGACAGGATTTTCTATTAAAGAAATTTGGACTTAAACATTTACATTATGCCTCAGAGTTCTTGAGGTATTGAATGTGTATTTTTTTAATTAAATATTGTTGTTTAATTTTTGTTTTTAATATTGCCTTTTATTTAGGTAGGAAATCTCATTTTTCTCTTTTCTGAGATAGAAACAATTACTAATTATCCAGTTAAAGTGAAAGAGAAATTGTAAAATTTTAGGAAAATATTATACGATATTAGAAAATAATTCACATAATTGATTGATTCATTTGATGTCAGGTTGAATTAAATATTTTAGACATAGGTCTTAATTTATCGAACTCCTGAAGTGTGTGTACTCAGTCATGTCTGGCTCTTTGTGACTGCGTGGACTGTAGCCTGCCAGGCTTCTCTGTCCATGGGATTTCCTAGGTAAGAATATTGGAGTGGGTTGCTGATTCCTTCCTCCCATATTACAAGACCTTTGTCTTTGGTTTTATCATTTAGTAGAGCGCTGCTTTTACAACTTGAAAGAACCAGTGTGGGAGGATGATTGGTCTCGACCTTTATTGCTAATATCTTATGTCATTTGTCAGGCACCTTAAAAATGGTTACATTATTCATGGCAAGATAAACAGGACCTCTGTGGCAAGTTTTACATGTCCAGTGTTTCAAGCAAGAACAATGCTCTGTTAAGGCAGGGAGATGAGGATAGTTCAGTGAAGAGGCTTGTGATGTGGAGGTTGTTACCATTATTGCATCATGGGTGGAAAGATTGGGGAAATAAAGTTGAAATAAAGATGAAGCAGTGAGCAGTTACAGAGATGAGAACCCAGAAGAGGATAGACAAGTAAGGGCATGCGTTTTGGCTAGTGACAAGGATGGCAGAGTTCAGCTAGTGGTGATTGCTGAGAACGTTTAGCATTTCCTTTGTGGGTGAAGTTAGGGAACACCCATTTGAGCCCTGGTTTTATAGAACTTCTAAAAGGGATTTAAAAAATGGCAAACTGGATAATAGTTTTGTCTAGATTGATATGGTGAACTCTGGGCAAAGTATCAGATTTGAGCTTTTAAGGGAGTAGAGTGGGTATAGGCCTGTACAGAGAAGATCTCTTACACTCTGTAGAGTTAAGCACTTGGCTTAAACTGAATGAGGTGGTGCAGCGGTAAAGAATCTGCCTGCCAGTGCAGGAGACGCGCGAGATGTGGGTTCTGTCCCTGGGATGGTAAGCTCCCCTGGAGTAGGAAATGGCAACCTGCTCCAGTGTTCTAGCCCGGAAAACGCCATGGACAGAGGAGTCTGGTGGGGTCGCAGCGAGCTGGCCACAGCTGAGCACACACACTACGTCCGTTGCTTAGGGGTTCCCAGGTGGCTCCTGGCACTGCAGGAGATGTGAGGTTGGTCCCCGGGTCGGGAAGATCCCCTGGAAGAGAAAATGGCAACCCACTCCAGTGTTCTTGCCTTGAAAATCCCATGGACAGAGGAGCCTGATGGGCAATAGTCCATGAGGTTGCAGAGTCGGACATGACTGAGCACACACTCTAAATGAACCAACCGTATCTGTAACTTTATAGGTACATGTTAAGGTCATGGTGAATACGTTTTTCATTTTAGAATTTTTCAGCATAGTTTGGCTGGAAAAAATAGGTATTTCCAAGATGATGTTTGAGGGAAGATCTACTGTTGTATATAAAACATGAAATGCTGAAATTTGAGTTGTATGGTGAACATTTTGCCTTAGACATACTGAACAAGCTGCTAGCATTGCTGGGTTGGTTACTGAAGGGTTATAGAAGCTAACGCTCTTGTTTCCTTGAAGGACTACTGGAAGTGTACTTCGTGCAATGAAATGAATCCTCCCCTTCCACCTCATTGCAACAGATGTTGGGCCCTTCGTGAAAATTGGCTTCCTGAAGATAAAGGAAAAGATAAAGGGAATATGTCTGAGAAAGCCAAACTAGGAGACTCGATGCAAGAAGAAGAGGGCTTTGATGTCCCTGACTGTAAGAAATCTACGGTCAGTGATTCTAGAGAATCATGTGTTGAAGAAAATGATGATAAAATCACACAAGCCTCTCTTTCTCAAGAAAGTGAGGACTATTCTCAGCCATCGACTTCTAATAGCATCATTTACAGTAGCCAAGAAGATGTCAAAGAGTTTGAGAGAGAAGAAGCACAAGACAAAGAAGAAAGCGTGGAGTCTAGTTTTCCCCTTAATGCCATTGAACCTTGTGTAATTTGCCAGGGTCGACCTAAAAATGGTTGCATCGTCCATGGCAAAACAGGACATCTTATGGCATGCTTCACATGTGCAAAGAAGTTAAAAAAAAGGAATAAGCCCTGTCCAGTGTGTAGGCAACCCATCCAAATGATTGTGCTAACTTATTTCCCCTAGTTGACTGCCTGTAAAAACGGAATTATATATTATAAGCCTGAAAATTTAGACATGAAATTTATTTTTTATTTTTTTAGCTGTATCAAAGCAAGAAAATACTTTACATGTAGATTTCTTCCCAATAGTGATTATTCCTTTTAGGAAAATGCCTGTTCTGTTGCTATTTTATATTTGGCTCTCAGTGTAACTCAGATTGTATTTAGTACCTTTCATGTAAAAAAAAAGTTCAAAAAAAGTTCCTGTGAAAGATTTAATATTTAAATTTTAGATACTCTTAAAGCTTCCAGTCCTTCGTTTCTGTAGTCTTTCAGAGACGCTTAAAATACCGTAAGTCTCTTACATAGGATGATTTGGAACCTTTACGTTGTGAACTTGCTGCTTCTTTTTTTTTTTTAAGTTGTGAATTTTCAAAGATGCAGACACGCACTTGGACACTCAGCCACTAAGTTCATGAGTCTTTCATATGTCGCCGTACGCGTGCATCCTCTGCGACTGGTGCTTTTGTGTACTGTACACGACTGTGCAGAGTACAGTAGTACAGTATTTTTTTTATTTAAAGCTTAGGATGTCCAGAAGCAAGTGTTAAAGCTGGGGTGATGTAGCTGTTGCTGCTGAGAAGCCCCAAGTGAGGAGAAGGAAGTGGCAACCCAGTCCAGTAATCGTGCCTGGAAAACCCCATGGACAGAGGAGCCTGGTAGGCTCCACAGTCCATAGGGTTGCAAGAGTCAGACACGACTTAGCAACTAAACCATCCACCACTACAAAGTGAATATGTGTCTCAGTGTCTACAAAGGTTATTTGCCCTATACAGCAGTAGCAGCTAGTTTTTTGGTGGGAGGGTGGGAGTCAAGGAAGACTTGGGGCTATTTTTTCATTTTATACTTACCCATAATGACCACTGTTTTTACCAGTCCTGTTAAACCACGAAAATGAATAAAATACTCTTAAGTTTCATATGGCCAAGTTAAAGTACTGAGCGGTAACCGTGGGCACGAAAGTGAAAACAGTCGAGAGAGTGGACTGACAAGAGGGAAAAAGTAGCTGAAGAACCAAAGCGGTTCCCAACACAGGAAGTGGCATGGGGCTTTTCCGTGTGGAGGCGCCGTCCGTCTTGAGGCCCAGGAGCTAAATGCAGACCAGCACGCGAAGCGAGAAGGCTGCCGCAGCCATTCAGAACGCACTCCAGCGTCACCGTGTCCTTCTATGAGGAGGAAAAGCAGCTGCCACCCAGACATCCCTGGGTGGTTCTTCCAAGAGGGTAGACAGAATTGAGTCCAGTAGGGAACCCGAACCTGTGCCGTCAGCGTCGGGCGTGGATGCGGTGGCAGATTGCTTCTCTCTCCTGTTGCTGACCGTCCTTCAGCTCGACCGGCTCCCACCCCGCCTCCCTCCAGTCGGTAACTCTCCTTGCCTAGTCACTTGCTGCCCGTCCCTCTGTACCGTCTGAAGTGTAACAGTGTAGTCTGCTGCTGTAGTTTTTAAGGTACTGCTCTGTAAGATGAAGAAGATTTTATTTTTTTGTTTTTGATGTATTATTTGTGAAAAGTATTATAAACCTATTACAATATAGTGCTATGTAGCCAGTTGTGTTAGTTGGGTACTTAGGCTAACTCAGTTGAACTAAGGAACATATTGGACTTAACAAATATGCTCTTAGAACTTGTTTGTATGTAGGGGACTTACTGCACTCTTTCTACATAAAAGAAATATTGGTGCTGCATAAGTAGCATTTACACATTACTCGTTCTCCAGTCTCTTTGATATGGTCAAGGATAGAATAAACAGAAGACTTCTTTTTTATACCAGCTGAAAATGTCATAACCTCTCTAAATTGTCCAAAAGTTATACATTATTTTAAGAATGACAGAATCAGAACAAAATTCTAAAATAACTCTCAAACTGTATAGAGTAACATCTTGATTTATATTAAATCTTCAACAGACTAGTGAAAGTAACTTTGATTTACAAGGTCCCAGTGGTTTTCTCCTATATATGATAGTTGTACATAATCGGGTGAGGATAACAAAATCAACTGAACTGTGAGTTTAGGGTAAAACTGAGGGATAGTTTTGTACAGCAGTTACAGAGCGTGGTATTAAACTTTAAAAATAACCCCCCTTCACACACATATACGACTTACCCGTGTGTAGATAGATAGGTAATGGCTGAATGGATCAGTACTTTAGCCAGAGTGTTCCTCAGATAGAGTAAAGCTTAATTTGGGGTTCATAATACATAAGCTAGGACTAAGGAGGATTGATCTCTGAGGAGAAAAAGATTATGAACACTGTATAGCCTTGTCCATAGCTGTGAGTTCCACATCCATGAATTTTAACTTGGTTGGGAAATAGGAAAAAGATTCCAGAAAGGTTCAAAAAGAAAACTTGAATTTGTTGTACACTTTCAACTACATAGCATTTGTGTTATATTAGGTGTTATATAAATAATCTAGAGATTTAAAAGTATATGGGGGGAGAAGAAGAACTTTTGCAAAAGTTATGTGCAAAACCATAGGTGTTTTTTTTTTTTTTTTTTAAACCATAGTATTTTATATAAGGGACTTAAGCTGCTTCAGATTTTGGTATCCCAGGGATCGGGGGGAATCTTAGAACCAATCCCCTATGGATACTAAAGGACAGCTGTACATTCAGGATGTATTAGTCAGAAAGTATGCTATTTACAAAACATTCGAACTGTTGCAAATAGTTTCATTCAACATACACATGCATTACTAATGCAGTCTAGATTGTCTAAATATTTTGATGTAACATGTATTTATTGATGTACAAATAAAAGATCTACTAAGTGCTTAAGAATTGTTTAAAAAATGTGGTTGTTGGCTCTTATAAGAAGTTTTCCCATCATAAGTTTTTTATTCCAGTTTTATTGAGATATAATGGACATAATGGATCTATATGTATCCAGTGGATATATGGATATATATATATCCATATAATGGACCTTGGAAGGACTGATGTTGAAGCTGAAACTCCAGTACTTTGGCCACCTCATGCGAAGAGTTGACTCATTGGAAAAGACCCTAATGCTGGGAAGGATTGGGGGCAGGAGAAGAAGGGGATGCCAGAGGATGAGATGGCTGGATGGCATCACCTACTCGATGGACATGGGTTTGTGTAAGCTCCAGGAGTTGGTGATGAGCCGGGAGGCCTGGCATGCTGCAATTCTGGGGTCGCAAAAAGTCTGACACGACTGAGCAGCCGAACTGAAATGAATACATTACTCTGCTGTAAGATGTTACAGCATAATGATTTGACTTATTAATAACATTAAATGATTATTACAGTAAGTTCAGTGAACAGCCATTATTTTAAATAGATAAATTACAATGACAAAAGTTATGTTCTTGGGATGAGAACTCAGGGTTTATTCTCTTTAATGTAGAACATACAGCAGTGTTAATTACATTTATCATGTTGTACATTATATCTTTAGTGCTTACAACTGGAAGTTTGTACCTTTTTACTGCCTTCATCCATTTCCCCTCCCCCAATTCCCCACCTGATAACCACAAATCTTTTTCTGTTTATTTGGGGTTTTTTGAAATATAAAGACCTATAATACTGTTGTTAGTTCCTGTTATACAACAAAGTGATGTGGTATTCTATACATTTTCAAATGAACACAATATCTCATGATATATTACTATACAAAGATGTTACATAGTTATTGCCTGTTGTTCATACACTGTACATTTCACACCATGAGTCATTTACTTTGCAACTAAATATTTGTACCTGTTAAATCTCCCTCACATTTCTTTCCTCCTCTGATCTCTGTGGCAACCAACCCTTTCTGATTTGTTGTGTTCATTTTTTAGATTCCACATATAATGAAAGCACGCAGCGTTTGTATTCTCTGATTTATTTCACTTAGCATAATACCCTCTAGGTCTATCCATATTGTTACAAATGGCAAGGTTTTGTTCTTTTTTATGGCTAGTCTTGTGCAGTGTGTGTATACTACATCTCTGCATCTTTACTCGTGCATTGATGGATACTTGGGTTGCTTTCGTATCTTTGCTGTTGTAAATAGTGGTGGAAACACTGAAGTGCATGTAAGTTTTTGAATTAGTGCTTTTGGTGTTTCAAGGTATATATCTGGAGTGGAGTTGCCGGATGATAGGGTAGCTCAATTTTTAGTTTTTTGAGGAAGCTCCATACTGTTTGCTGTAGTGTTATCAGCCCACCAGGAGTATAAGGAAGGATTCCCTTTTTTCCACAGCCTCACCAACACTTACGTGCTGTCTTGATAATAGCCATTCTGATAGGTGTGAGGTGAGATCTCATTGTGATTTTGATTTTCGTTTCCCTGATTAGTGATGTTGAGCATCTTTTCATGTGCTTGTTGGCCATGTGTATGTTGTCTGTGGAGAAATATCTGTTCAGATCCTCTGCCCATTTTTCAATACGATTGTTTTTATTGAACTCTTAATCTATTTTGAATTTATTTTTGTGAATGGTGTGAGAGAGTAGGCCAGTGTCTTTTGCGTGTAGTCGTCCAGATTTCGTAACGCCGCTTTTTCAGAATACCTTATTTTTGGCTGTGCAGGTTCTTGGCTGCCGCACACGGGCTTTCTCTAGTTGCGGTGAGAGGAGACTGCGCCGTGGTTACCAGTGCGGTGGCTTCTCGCTGCCGAGCACTGGCTCCAGGGCTCGAAGGCTCAGTAGGTGGCGTATGAGCTTCTTGCCTCGCAGCATGTGGGATCTTCTGGACCAGGGACTGAACTGCCGTTCAGTCAACTTGCGTTGCAAGGCAGATTCCTAAGCGCTAGACCACCAGGGAGGCCCCCAACACCCCTTATTGAAGTGGTTGTGTTTTTCTCATTGTATATCCTTGCCACTTTGTCATAGACTAATTGACTGTAAGTGTGGGTTTATTTCTGGGCTCTGTATTCTGTTCCATTGACCCATGTGTCTGTTTTTGTGCCGGTACTATCCTGTTACGATAACTATAGCATTATTGTATGGCTTGAACCAGGGCGTGTGAGGCCCCCAGCTTGCTTCTTTTTCCTCGACTGTTTTGGCTGTTGAGGGCGTGCGTGTTCTCAGTGAAAAATACCATTTTGTGTGTGTATTTTCTCATACAAGTTTTATAATTAGTTGTAGTTCTGTGGGAAATACCATTAATATTTTAATAAGGGTTGAATTGACCTGTAGAGTTCCTTTAGTAGTATATAGTCTTTTTAAACAAATCCCTCCAGTCCATGAACACGATGTGTCTTTCCATTTATCTGTATCATCTTCAGTTTCTTTTATTGATGTCCTATAGTTTCCCAGTACAAAGTCTTTAACCTCCATAGTCACATTAGTCTTAAATATTTTATTCCTTTTGATGCAGTTCTAAATGGGATTGTTTCTTAATTTCTCTTTCTCATGGTTTGTTGTTAGTGTATAGAAATGCAACAGGTGTCTGTATATTGGTTTTTGCCTCTGGCAGCTTTACCAAATTCATTGAGCTATAGTAGTTTCTGTTGGCGTCTTGAGAATTTTCTCTGGTGTGCTGGGCAACTTGCAGGATCTTTGTTCCCTGACCAGGAATCCAACCCAGGGCCCCCAAACACTCACCACTCGACCGTGAGGGAATTCCCAGGATTTTCTATGTATAGTATCATGTCATCTGTAAACAGTGACAGTTTGCTTTTTTTGCAATTTGGATTCTTTCTGTTTCTCTTTCCTACCTGATTGCTATGACTAGGACTTCCAATAATACCTTGAATGAAAGTGGCAGGAGTGGGCATCACTCTTGTTCCTGTTAGAGAAGATGCTTTCACCTTTTCACCACTGAGTATGATGTTAGCTGCGGGCTTGTCAATTATGGCCTTTATTGTTTCGAGGTATGTTTCCTCTGTACCACTTTGTTGAGTTTCTATCATAAATGGATGTTGAATTTTGTCATATTTTTCTACATCTGTTGAGATGATCATACGATTTTTGTTCTTCAGTTTGTTAATGTGTATCCCTTTGATTAATTTGCCGATATTAGTCCATTCCTGGGATAAATGACATTTGATCTCGGTGTATGATCCTTTTAATGAATTGTTGAATTCTGTCTGCTAATATTTTGTTAAGAAGTTTTGCATGTGTTCATCAGTGATATTGACCTGTAAGTTTCTTTTTCAGTGTTATCGTAGGTTTTGGTAGCAGGGTGATACTGGTCTTGTAGAATGAGTTTGGAAATGTTGCTTCCTCTACAGTTTTTTGAAATAGCTTGAGAAGGATAGGTGTTAACTCTTCTCTGGATGATAGAATTCACCTGGGAAGCAGTCTGGTCCTGAACTCCGTTTTCTGAAAGTTGTTCTATTCCTGGTTCAGTGTTATTCCTGGTAATTGGTTTGTTCACATTTTTATTTGTTCTCAGTTCAGTCTGAGGAGATTGTACATTTCTAGGAATTCATCATTTCTTTGAGGTTGTCCATTTATCAATATATAATTATTTGTTGTAATCTCATGATCCTTTGTAATTCTGTGGTGTCAATTGTAACTTTCCCCTTTTCATATCTGATTTTATTGATTTGGGCTCTCTTTTATGTTGAGTCTGGTTAATCTTATCTTTTCAGAGAACCAGCTCTTAGTTTCATTAATCTCTTGTTTTTTAAATCTGTCTCTTTTATTTCTGCTCTAATCTTTTATTTCCTTTCCTTCTGCTCACTTTGGGTTTTATTTGTTCTTCCTTTTCTAGTTCTTTTAGGTGCAAGAATAGGTTGCTTATTTGAGGTTTTTTTTTCTTTCCTGAGATAGGCTTGTAGCACTATAAACTTTTCTCTTAGAACTGCTTTTGCTGCATCCCATAGATTTTGGATTGTTTTGTTTTTGTTTTCATTTCCAGGTATTTTTAAGTTCCTTTTTTTGTTGATATCTTCAGTGATCCATTGATTGTTTAGTAGCATATTGTTTAGTGTCACATTTACAGTTCATGTGATTCCTGATAGGGACTTATGGCCATTTTGTTAATTGTTTGGAAATGTTGGTGTGTGTTGTGTTTTTTGCAGTTTTTTTCCCCTTGTATTTATTTTCTAGTCTCCTCACATTGTAGTCAGAAAAGATGATATGATTTCAGTTTTGTTAAATTGATGGAAACTTGTTTTGTGGTGTCGCGCAAGCCCCTCAGTATGTGTCACTCTGTTTCTCCCTTTGTGTCTGTTCATCGTTGCTCTGTGTGCTTAGGCGCCCTTGAGTTCCACGCATTTGCTACTGTTAATGCCTTCTTAGCTTTGTCCCTTTATCATTATGTATTGTCCTTAGTCTCTTGTGAGAGTCTTTATTTTCAAGCTTGTTCTGTCTGATATAAGCATTGCTTCCTCATTCCCCCCTACCCCCGTTTTCACGGAATGCTTGTTTTCCCATCTACTTACTTTCTGTTTCCTCAGATTTGAAACAAGCCTCAGGCAGCATATACATTGGTGGTGTTTCTGTATCTGTTCAGCCGTTCTGTGTCTTTTGACTGGAGCATTTAGTTCATTTACATTTAATGTGATTTTTAATAGGTATGTACTTAATGCCATATTGTTAATTGTTTGAGGGTTTTATAGTTTTTGGCCCTAGTTTTCTTCCCTTGTGATTTGAAGACTCTTTAATGTTATAATTCCTTTTTTCTGTGTATTTATTACAGGTTTTTGGTTTTCTGATTACCATAAAGTTATGTCTCCCTACCTGCCTATTATTTTAAGTTGCTGATCTCTTCAGTTCAAAGACATTTTAACAATCCTGGCATTTTTGCTGACCATTTCCCCCCATGTTTACTGTTTTTGATGTCATATTATACATCTTTTTTTCTGTATCCCCCTAACTACTTATTGTGGATATAGGCAATTTTACTATTGATAATTTTCTCTTTTAATCTTCTTACTTTATAAATTTGCCTTCACCAGTGAGATTTTTTTTCCTTTTGTAATTTTTATTTTTCTAGTTGTGCCCCGCCCCCTAGCCTGCCCCCCTTAGGAAGTCTGTTTAACATTTCTTGTAAGCTGATTTGGTAGTACTGAACTCTTAGCTTTTGCTTGTCTGTAACATGCTTGATCTCGCCATCAAATTTGAGTGAAAGCCTTGTCAGGTTTTTTGTGTCTTTGTGTGTGTGTGTTTTTCCCTTTCCTCCCAATACCATAATGTTGTATATTATACAATATACACTTTAAGTATATTGTACCATCCTCTTCTCGCCTGCAGAGTTTTTGCTGAAAAGTCAGCTGATAGCCTTGTGGGAGTTCCTTTGTACTTAACTAGTTGCTTTTGCTTTGCAGCTTTAATATTCTTTAACTTTTGCGTTGGTGTGGTCCTCTTTGAGTTTGAGACTTTCTTGGCTTCGTGGACCTGGATGTCTGTTTCCTAGCTTAGGGAAGCTTTTAGCTATTATGTCCTCAGATGGATTCTCTGTCCCTTCCTCCCTTCTTCTGAGACTCCTGTAATGTGAATGTCGCTCGACTAGATGCTCTCCCTCAGGTCTCTTAAACTCATTTCTTTTTTTAAAATTGAAATATAGTTGATGCACAGTGTAAGGGATAGAACAGTGATTCACAATTTTCAAAGATTATGTCCTATTTATAGTTACAAAATATTGGCTATATTCTCTGTATATATCCTTGTAACATTTTATACATTGTGTTTGTACCTCTTAATCTTCTACCCCTATCTTGCCCTCCCCTCTTCCTTTTCCCCTCCCCCCTCTGGTAAACACTAGCTTGTTTTCTATATGTTTCTTTATGTTATATTCACAAGTTTTATTTTTTAAACTCCCCATATAAGTGATAGCATACATTATTTTGTCTTTCTCTGACTTACTTTACTAAACATAACACAGTTCATGTCCATTCATGTTGTTGCAAACAGCAGAGTTTCATTCTCTTATGGCTAAGTAGTATTCCATTGTGTGTATGTGTGTGTGTACACACCATATCTTATCTGTCCATTTGTTGATGGACACTCGGGTTGCTTCCATACCTTGGCTATTGTGATGATTTGCTGTGAACACTGGTGTCCTCATTTCTTTTTATTTGCTTGCTCTTTATGTTCCACTCCAGTGATTCCCACTGCTGTCTTCTAGCTTGTGGATCCATTCCTCTGTATTGTCTAGTGTACTATTGATTCCTTCTAGTGTATTTTTTATTTCAGTTATATTCTTCATCTCTGGCTCTTTATATTTTATAATTCTTTGTTAAGACTGTCTAACGTTTTGCTCTGTTCACCCACAGCACTTTGTCTCAGTTACGGAACATCATTGTGATCATTACCTGGTGACTAGGGCTGTATGCCATAGGTGTGCCCCCTATTTGTGCCTGAACTGTTCTGTTGTGGTGAGCTGATTACTGTGGGCCATCTGATGGATGTGGCTGGCCCAAGCCCAGTTGGTTTCCAGGCCTTGCCTTGTGCAGAGGCTGCCATTTGCTGGTGGGCGGGGCTGAATTACAGGGCTGCTGGCTGTGGAGCTTTGGGGTATCCTGGCCTCCAGCTAGTCCACCAGTGGGGTGAGCAAAGTGGCGTGGGGGGTTGTGGGGAATGAGAGGGGTGAGTGTGTCCCAGATCTAATGTTGGCTTGTGGGCGGGGCTGGTTGCTGACATAGCTGGCTGCCAGGTCTGAGGTGTGGTGTTGGCTCACTGGTGAATGAATGGGCCTGGATCCTGGGGCAGCTGGCTAAGGGTTACAAGGTGTCTTGGAGTTGGTGCCTGCCTGCTGGTGGGGGGGATTGGGGCTTCCTGGGACTGGTGGTGTCTTGCAGGGAGACCGTGCTAGAGCTAATGCCAACTCACTGATGGGCAGAACTGGGTTCCCAGGACTCTGGCTGCAAGGCCCCAAAAGTCCTAGAGCTGGTAGTGTTCTGCTGGTAGGTGGGGCTGTATCCTGGATCAGCTGACTGCGGGTCCCACGGCGTCCCAGAGCTGGTTTTAGACTGCTGCTGGGCAGGCTTGGGCCCAAGGGGTCCTGCGGCAGGTGCAGGCCTCCTGGTAGGTGGGCTGGGTCTTGATACGGTAGGGTGCAGGGTTGAAGTAGTCCTAGGTCTGCTATCTGCTTGCTGGTGGGCAGGGCCAAGGCCCAGGGTGTCTTGGGGCTAATGCTAATGCACTGGGAGGCAGATCCAGGACCTGAGGTCTTTAGCCCAGGGTCCTGGGGATCCCAAAGTTGATGTTTTGTCCTGCTGGTGGGTGGAGTGGTGCCCATAGGATCCTGGGTCTACCCCCTGATGGGTGAGTTTGGTCCTGTGAGTAGTGCCAATTGGTGGACCCAACCAGGGTCTGTCTGAGCCCTCTGGTAGAGATAGCCAGGTCCTGGGTTGACTGTGGGCTCAGGGGGTCATAAGGCAGCAGGCCTGTTGTTGGTGGGACTTTTGCTCCACCTGGTTAGCTGCTTGGCCTGGGCATCCCAATACTGATGCCAGCAGGCTGGTGGGAGGGGCTGGATCCTGAGGCGAATACTAGAGAGAGGACTCCAAAATGGCACTTGCCAGCACCCGTGTTCATGTGATAGAACAAGCTCCCAAAGATAATGTCTGTGTCCCCAGGACAAGCTGCAGTTGCCTCCTGCCTCACCAGGAGACTCCCAAGATCAGATGGTGGCTCTGACTCAGGCGCCTTTCAAATTACAGCTTCTGGCCTGAGTCCTGGAGCATGTGAGAGTTTGTGTGCATCTTTAAGAGTGGGGTCTCTACTTCCCACAGTCCCCTGGCTCTCCCAGAAGGAAGCCCTGCTGGTCTTTAAAGCCAGATGTTCTAAGGGCCCATCCTGGTGCAGGAGTCTCTGGGCTGGGGAGCCCACTGTGGAACTTGGACCACTCACTCCATGGGAGAACCTCTGCAACTTTAATTATCCTCCCATTTGTGGGTCATTCACCTGGGGGTATGAGTTTTAGCTATATTGCATCACCTGCCCTCTTACATGTCTTCTTGCACTTCCTTCTCTATATCTTTCGTTGAAGATATTTGCTGCTAGTCTTCCAGTTCTGCCTCATCAGTAGTTTCCCTGTTGTAATTTTGGTGTGCCTGTGGGAGGAGGTGAGCTCAGGGTCTTCCTACCCTGCTATTTTGGCCACATCTCCATTATAATGAGTCTTGTTAAAAATTATATTTGAGTATCACCTATTTGGGTAATCAGAGGCACTAGTGGAAATACGCCGCTGCTTTTAGAATGGCCATGCCTGCCCACTATGGAAGTACACATATCTGGGCAGCGTGACCCAGTTGGCAGCTTGTAAAGCATGGAATAAGGCCAACTTGAGAATAATGACACAATTTAGTAGGGCCACGAAATGCCGGTGTCTCCCTGTCTTGTTCACTTGTGTTACCATATGGCAGGCTGGCTTAAGTAGTTTCTCAACAAGCAGTACTTCTGAACAGTCTGAAAGGGATGTAGCTAGGGCATGGATGGGACTCGGATTAGCTACCCTGTCCCTTGTCAACATGAAAGGTGCTGTTGTAATTGCATGTGACTTCTGTGTGTTGTCTGTGAACCTAAATTCCATGAGGCCAAGAATGTCTTCTTGACTGTGATATACATACAGGTGCTTAATAAGAGTTTATTGATATTGAATGAGTCTAAGCACTGGGATGTGAGTCTTGAAGCTGGTTTTAAAGCAGGAGATTGTGGGTCCCAAAGGCAAACCAAGGTTAGCTGTTGGCATAACTTAGTTTAGGTTTTTAACTTTGTTTTTCAGCTGTTAAGTCTGATTTTTTATTTTCAAATTTGTTGTTCAGTTGCTAAGTTGCTAATGCAGTGTTGATTTCCTTTAGGATTGACTGGTTTGATCTCCTTGCTGTTCATGGGACTCTCAAGAGTCTTCTCCAGCACCACAATTTGAAAGCATTAGTTCTTTGGCGCTCAGCTTTCTTTATGGTCCAACTCTCACATCCATACATGACTACTGGAAAAACCATAGCCTTGACTAGACGGACCTTTGCTGGCAAAGTATAATGCCTCTGCTTTTTAATATGCTGTCTAGGTTGGTCATAACTTTCCTTCCAAGGAGTAAGCGTCTTTTAATTTCATGGCTGCAGTCACCATCTGCAGTGATTTTGGAGCCCAAAAAACCTAAGTCTGCCACTGTTTCCACTGTTTCCCCGTCTATTTCCCATGAAGTGATGGTATCGGATGCCATGATCTTAGTTTTCTGAATGTTGAGCTTTAAACCAACTTTTCCACTCTCCTCTTTCACTTTATCAAGAGGCTCTTCAGTTCTTCTTCACTTTCTGCCATAAGGGTGGTGTCATCTGCATATCTGTAGTTATTGATACTTCTCCTGGCAATCTTAATTCCAGCTTGTGTTCCATCCAACCCAGCGTTTCTCATGATGTACTCTGTATATAAGTTAAAGAAGCAGGGTAACAATATACAACCTTGACGTACTCCTTTTCCTATTTTGTCCCAGTCTGTTGTTCTATGTCCAGTTCTGTTGCTTCCTGATTTGCATACCGATTCTTTTTTTTTGCATACCGATTCTTAAGAGGCAGGTCAGCATCGGTCCTTCTGATGAATATTCAGGGTTGATTTCCTTTAGGATTGACTGGTTTGATCTCCTTGCTGTCCAAAAGACTCTTAAGAGTCTTCTTCAGCATCACAGTTTGAGGGTGTCAATTGTTCAGTGCTCAGCCTTCTTTATTTATGGTCCAACTCTCACATCCATACGTGTCTACTGGAAAAACCATAACTTTGACTATATGGACCTTTGTAAAAGGCTTTGGTATAGTCAACGAATCAGAAGTAGGTGGATTTGGTGAATTTCCTTGCGTTTTCTATGTTCCAGCTTATGTAGGCAATCTGAAGGGCATGTCCCTGCTAGTTAGGGCCTGACAAAATGTGGTCCACTGGAGAAGGGAATGGCAAACCACTTCAGTATTCTTGCTTTAAGAACCCACAAACAGTATGAAAAGGAAAAACCATGGATTTGGTTTACACATAGACCTCTGTTGGGAAATTGATGTCTCTGCTTTTTAATAAGCTCTCTAGGTTTGTCATAGCTTTTCTTCCAAGGAGCAAATGTCTTTTAATTTCATGGCTGCAGTCACCATCCACAGTGATTTTAGAAGCCAAGAAAATAAACTGTCACTGTTTCCACTTTTTCAACCCTTCTATTTGTCATGAAGTGATGGGACCGAATGCCATGATCTTTGTTTTCTGACTGTTGTTTTAAGCAAGCTTTTTCACTCTCCTCTTTCATCATCAGGAGGCTCTTTAATTTCTCTTTGGTTTCTGCCATTAAGGTGGTATCATCTGCATATCTGAGGTTATTGATATTTCTCCTGGCAGTCTTGATTCCAGCTTGTGCTTCATCCAGGCCAGCATTTCTCATGATGTACTCTGCATATAAGTTAAATAAGCAGGGTGACAATATGCAGCTTTGTATTCCTTTCCCAATTCTGAACCAGTCCATCCCATGTCCAGTTCTAACTGTTGCTTCTTGACCTGCATACAGATTTCTCAGGAGACAGGTAAAGTCGTCTGGTATTCCCATCTCTAAGAATTTTCCAGTTTATTGTGATCCACACAGTTAAAGGCTTTTGCATAGTCAGTAAAGCAGAGGTAGATTTTTTGGGGATCCCCTTGCTTTTTCTGTGACCCAGCAGATGTTGGCAATTTGATCTCTGGTTGCCCTGCCTTTTCTAAATCCAGCTTGAGCATCTGGAAGTTCTTGGTTCATGTAGTGTAGAAACCTAGCTTCAAGGATTTTGAGCATTACTTTGCTAGCATGTGAAATGAATTAATTGTATGGTAGTATGAACATTCTTTGGTGTTGCCCTTCTGTGGGATTGGAATGAAAACTTACTGGTCCCATGGCCACTGCTGTGTTTTCCAAATTTGCTGACATATTGAGTACATCTCTTTAACAGAATCATTTTTTAGGATTTTAAGTAGCTCAGCTGAAATTCCATCACCTCCACTAGCTTTGTTCATAGGAATGCTTCCTAAGGCCCACTTGACTTCACACTACAGGATATCGGGCACTAGGTGAGTACTTTTTTTTTTTTTTTTAGGTGAGTACTTTTAATAAATGTTTTAAAGCTACTGATTAGATCTGTGGGTTCATGACAGTAACTGCAAATATTCATTGTATTGTGAAAAGATGATAGTTGCATTTTCTGGTTATTTGGATTCTGAATTGTGTTTTTTTGATTTAGTTTACTAAATTTTTTTATTTACTAAAAAATTATTTTTAGTAATACTTATTTTCAAAAATTATATTTTAGTAATTTCTTTAAAAACTTGTTTAAAAGTTTGTGGCCATATTGTCTATCACACAGCCAGTTTTCAATAATATAGGGAATTTTTGACATTTACAAATACTACTTTAGCAAGATAAATATCTGAAAGCACCAGCACATTTAGAAGTTGCTCAGAAGTGTTTAATATAATGGCAAATTGTATAATGAACTATTAACAGGAACTAGCAAAGAGAAACAGAAAATAGAACAAGGGCAGTGTGAAGTGACAAGCAATTGTGAGAGTCCCCATGTGGTTAGTAGTTTACTACTATGAAATGCATGTGAAATTATATATTAAAATATTATTACAATATTATTATTTTGGATAAGAGCACCATAATTGATTGTTTTTAGGAGCGTGGTGATCCTAAAACACCCTTGAATTCTTACCATTCTCTTCTAAAACTCTCCTTTAAAAATTCCTGTTTTAAACAATTGATCGATGTTACCTTCTGTCTCTCTCAGCATGGCTTACAAGATCTTAGTTCCTCCACCGGGGATGGAACCTGGGTCCCTGGCAGTGAAAGCAGGGAGTCTTAACCACTGGACCACCAGGGAATTCCCAACGTTGCCCTCTCTCCCTGTTTCAGTCCTGCAGATCTGCCTTCAGAATACAACTACTTAGATGTTCACCCAACCACTTAAGGTCATCTTAGCAAAATATCTTTCATATTCTAAATTTCAAAATTTCAACCTTTTCAGAAGATTTTTTTAACTATCATGTTAGGTGGATTTCATTTATTTCTCAGTGAAGTTTCAGTATTTTTATATGCATATTTTTGGTTCACAGCTTCCCAGCCCACATCCTGTACTAGGCCTTCCTCTAAGATCACAGGAACATCTGCCTAGATTGACCTCACCACATTTTTTTTTTTCACCACATTAAAAAAAAAATTCATTTATAGATAATTTACAGATATCTTCATGTCGCTTCCCTGATTTAAATATTGAAAAAAAAAACCTTCAATAA